AAGTTCTGACAGTGAGTCAACGCATCCTAAAACTGAACAGCTAATTGGAATCCAGCCACTGTTCATTTTATATTTTATACCTAGGTAGATCGGTATTTACAGCAGGAGCTCAGCAGATGCCCCATCGCATGTTCATCAGTGCCATTACATTTGGAAAGATTCCCAGTAACTCTTGTCTCTTGCATGTTGTGGTATTTATATTTTGGCAGTGTTAAAATGAGTCATTTTCACCAGAAGACCTCGCTTCACCGTTTCCCCTCATCTTCTCCCTCAGAAGCTCATTCCACCATATCACTTCTTGCATTGGAGGGATTTGAGGAGGACAGATTATCTGGCTGACCTCTTTAGCCGCCGGTGCCGTTTTAATATCTCACGTCAATATGTTTGAAATGAGTGTTCATCAGCAGTGAGGATCGCAGGATTTTAAGATGCTGTCATATAATGATTCACGTTTTAGTTCACTGTGATGGATGTTTCAGTCTGGGTGGCTCTTGTGGAAGAATAAGATAAACTGCCTTCGGTTTGACACGATAGCTTGTTTAAAGAGAGCCAGTTAATAGAGCTGTTGGAAAAGTAGGCCAGTGGTGTGTGGTGAAAGCACGGGCACCGACAGCCTATTTGTTGAATATTTTGCTGCCTTGATTTATATTAAAATTGACTGAAAACCTTAATCAAACTGGATTTGTAATCTTCGTTATCGTGTTACACTCAGGCGCTGGTATAAGGAAAGGAAAACACTGACTCTTTGTTTTTACAGACAAAACCATAGTGATTTAAAAAACAAAATTTATAAGTATTCAAATATTTGAAAATCATTGCCCATCCCTAAACAACACACCACATTTTTGGTAATGTTTATAATGTATTCTGATTATTTAGAGCAGTTCAGAGCCTGTGTGACAAACTAGAGACATGTAAGACATAAGCACAGATTTGTCATTGGCATTGTTTTGCTTGTTTCTGCTGTTTTATTTAGCCAAATGATTTTAATTTGAAACAGTTTCACCCATTGAATTAACTGCAGGTTCATTAGGGAGAAAAATGGAAGATGAACATCAACATGGACACACACACACGTCTCAATCACTTCAGGGGACATTACACTGACTTGCATTCATTTCCTAGAGACTTACCATAACCACTGCTTGCCTACTCGTAAACCTCCCCCTACCCTTGAACAGAGTCATCACTGTAAAATGTAATGATTTATGTTTTGGGGACTTGCTCTTTGTCCCCATAAGGACATTGAGTCCCCACAATGTGATTGTATTAACAAATTTACGTTGCCACAACACGAGTAATACCGAGCCACACACATGCGCAAAATGGACGCCCTTCACTGCCTTTTACTTTTAGCTGGGTAATTTCTTCCCATGGGTTACAGCGTGGCCATAATTTGTTGCATTGTCATCTTCAGTGGCGTTTGGCTCAGGCCTGTAATGATTTAGAAGTCAACAGCAACAGAGTATCAAGCTGCCAAAGTTTATAAAATCATCTGAAATACATTCCATTTTATTTAATCAAATAACATATTAAAAACAAGCTTATTAGAAAAATACATGTTAGTATGATACTATCTCCCTAAAATAACAGAAAAATTTGATTTGTACTTTGAATTTTTAGTTTAGCTCATGTCCAGTCTGCTAAGCTCATGCAGTAGATGGGAGTTCCTCACTGTGGTGTACCATTTTGTCCTATGTTCTTCTCCATGGAGACCATGGAGGCCTGTTGGGCTTTGTGTTACAGTCCAGTGGTTGCTTGGCTGCTCAGCCATGATTAATTCAGACAGGCCTCAAGGGAGAGCAGCCAGGCTAGGTTACCTAGGCAAGGATCTGGTGTCTAGCAGCCATAAACACACTGGCTTTATGGCAGCTTTAGGTACAGTGCTCTTCTTGGCTTCAGCTGAAGCTGGAACTGGTGATCTTTCGCACCTGTTGGTTGCATTAATCAGTCTGTTTACACTGGACAACCTACACATCATTTTACTCCCTGTAACAACAGCGGTGACCAGTTGCTGTGTAGTTTTATATCAGTTGTACAGCTGCACCTAGATTCAGCTGGCACAGTTGGTAAAGGTGGCTGCATGGTTTCTACATGGAGCCGAGTGATGCCGTGAGAAAAATGCATTTGAATATGACATTTTCTTCTTTGTTTCTGTTATAAAATACAGCACAGAAGAAATTTTAGCACAAGCATGTTGCAGATCAGGGCCTTAGCTCTGTGGATTTTTAGTTTTGTCCTCTACTCACGTATTAACACTCAGTGAAGGTTTTGTTGTTGTTAATTCCTCCCCTCCAGTCAGCTTGGTTATCAGTCTTCATAGAGTCCAAAGTCATGTCATCAAATTTTTTTGCTTAGTCCAAAACAGTTGTGTTTAGATTAGGAAACGCAGCAATTCGTCCCATTTATGATCCAGTTTGTTTGTTTGCCATCTTTGTTTAAAAAATTAATATATAGCCAAATGTTGCAGATCTGTTCCATACAGTACGTCAAGTCAAAATTGTTTCCAAGGAAGTTGTTTCCAGTGCATTTTATGATAAAATAAATTAATAATCATTGGACCTTTTTGTAAAACAGCCCCTGGTTATTACTTTGTTTATGGACAGAAACACGTCAGTTTAGCACGTGACCTGAACGTGTAAGATGACCCTACAAATAGTCCCACTCACAACAGAATATTCTGGCAGGATAATTGTTCAGTTGTGACATATTGGCTCCATACTCGGGTCTTTTATCCTTGCTGGTCTGCCAGATGTACAGTATGTCACTGCAGAACGATTCTCCATCTCCATCCTCATATTTGTTTTCTGCCCCCTTGGTCAAATGACTGATGGATGGAGGACTTATGTACTGTGTCAGGCTCATAAATCAGCTTTTGCTGTGGCAAAATGGCACCCGACTTCCATTAATAGCAAACCTGGCTGCGGTCAGACACATCCACCCCTAAGTTAATACACGTTACTCTGTCGACAGCTGTGTGGTTCATCAGTGACGTGCTAAGAGGGAGAGAGG